CAGTTCAACCCACTTAAATTCTGGATAGCTATCTGGGAGAACCGATAATCTACTGAATCCAGGGCAAAGTTAAACTTTAAGCACCACCAACTACCAATCAGCGAATGAACTCGAACGCACCAATCACGTGAAGGAGGTATAAGAATAAAAATTATGCACTGTGGTAGAGTATAATTCCATTATGGGTAACATTTATTTTGATAAAGTCTCACAGTGTTATGCAGTAATATTTACTGGGCAATAAACTGTGCTCGAAACGTTTTCACCAGTAAATATTACTGTCTAACAAACATTGAGAGACTTTATCAAAATAAATTTTACCCACAATGGAATTATACTTCAGCACAGTGCACAAGTATTATTCTTGTATCAGCAGAGTAATTTAACCACATTCTATGCATGTAATTATTTAGGTCCTCTAAACCTAACGTGAAAATATCCCTAAACTTACTCATCTAACTTGAACTAACCCTAATGTCGCCTTTATTAGGTTAACCTAAACCTAACTTGTCATTGGTCTAAACCGTAACTTAATCTTTCCCAAACATAAGCTGAAACTTGCCAGAAATCCTATTCAATAACCGAACACTTCGATGAGCACATTTTATTGCTGATGACAACATTACCTACCAGGTTTCATTAACTTGCTCAGTGAGTGTTTCAAGGTCACTAGTGCGGTCACACTCTATTGGTAGTTAGTGGTGCTTAAAGTTTAACTTGGCGGAATCCACTTCAGCTCTCTGAACTGATTCAAGAGGGGGCACATTACTGATGAGTTCAGATCAAGATGAACGAAATGGCCGTCCATCTGTCAAGTGTGAATAATATCAGATTATAGGTTTCCAGGCCGTAGGTGTTACGAACTTCCTGGAATAATTTGGGCGCCGAGTCAGATTGATTCATTATAAATTATTTAAATTAATCCCAGCGTGTTAAGAAAATCAAAACAAGATTTTTCTGAACGTTTCGCTGTGTAAGCCACAGCTTCTTCAGTAGATTTATTCGGATTTTTATTAATTATCAAATTAATTTGATTAATTTGAATAATTTATAACAATATCAGATTGTCTAGGGGAGCAGTGATAATGGACATTTTACCAAATATGTTTAGTGACTACGAAACCATGGACACTGTAACATTGATTAAGCTGAAATGAACAATCAGTACATAATAAAAGACATCTTCTAAGCCATGTAGAATAAAAAATTATAATAATAAGGAAATGTAGAAAGTTCTCGATTATTCACAACTTTTGCATAGATATTACTTTACAATGGAAAACACAAAGCTTGTTACGAACTACTTGAACAAATCTGTCTGATTCATTATGTTCAAGTTTGATCACGAACTATCTTCATTAAGAGAACCAGTGAAAATCAGGGAGTACTAGACAACTGTTTCATTCTAGTCTAGTACTCTTCATCAGTATGCACCCATCAACCTACCAAGGGTAGAACCCATAAACATCAGGTTACAAGGTGGCCTCGTTAACCATTCAGTCACTAGGACGAAATCCAGTGGCCCATGATTCCTGGCTTCAGTCAGTTTGCGATATGTTAAAAGAAAAAAGAAATCGGTCCAAGTTCAGGCTGTTTGTCTTTTAGGAAAGGTGACAAGTCAGTATTAAACTCATTGGACTTGCAAACTGTACAGTAGATGTTTAAGTGGTTGAATACGACCTAAAAGTGGAGAAGTAAAACTACATTCGTAATGATGCTAATTACAAGGACTACAATGACTATTATCACTCAGCTAATGTAGAAACTGAAACTAATTACCTTTTCATCTCGCAGTGAATAGTTAATTTCGTTTGAACGTTAGATCTCGGGGAGAAACAAAAATGCATATATATTCATAAGTGAAATAAAACTTAGTGAGAGTTCTAAAATACGTACACATGATGGAATACACAACCATGAGACTCCGCAGTTAGTGGTTTACAGAGCTTTACTAAATGAACTTCATTGAATTATCGGTGTACTATTGGGAATGAACTTTATCACAAAAAGAAGAAAATTTAAGAACTACATTTGAAATAATGCTTGGCCTATAGATTTGGCTCTCATTTTTTCACCAGACTATGGACTTAAATATCAAGGGATCTGCTTCGAAAACCAGTATGTTAGTCACTAGAAAACTGGGCTACAATAGTGACATTATGTATTAGTTGTTATCAGAGAATGACACTAAACTAAGAGAATAGATTTGTAGTATAGTGTATTATGTTCTCTAAACTTTGAAGATGTCACTAGACACAGTGATCAAATATTCACAGACAAACAGGAAAGCTCGAAAAACATCTGACAACCTCTCATATTTTGACCTTTTTTCAGGTTAATTCGACTATTTGTAACATAAGTCTGTGATACTTTGTGCGTTAGATACTGACTGGAAGATTTAGGAGGAATGCACCTGTTTTTGATGTTGTTGAGTTCTGTGAGCAAGATGGATTGATTTTGAAGCTTTCATTGCTCTTCCGGATATCTTCAGTGCTAACTTAAAAGTGAAGTAAGCTTTTGGAATGCTCTGTGAATGTAATATCCATTTACCTTGGTGAACCTGAAGCTAACTGTTTTTCGCCAAAGACTTTTCTTTTCCTCATGTCCACTTATATTGGTAATGTGCGATCGCAAACCTATGTCATTGGTGAGTGTTTGTCCCCATGCCCAAATTGTTGACCATGACTCCCCACTAGAACTTCAGGCACCCTCATCCTGTAGTCCGTCACTGGTGAGCACTAGATTAGTTTCTGTGTGTTGGCTTTGCAGGGATTTGATTGACTCCAATTTTTGTCAAAAAAAATGACTTCAGCTAGAGAAATTTAGGGGGTACTGGACATCCGTTTCGTCCTTTTCTAGGCCTTTTCACAGTACATACCAATCGCCTTATCAGGGACAGGACCTAGAACCTTCTGGTGGTCGACCTGATATCTAACCTCTCAAAATATCTTCTACATCGCTTCACAACACCTTTTTAGTTGAAGACTAATCCAGGTGATGGGCATCGTGAGGAGAAAATTCACTTATTGGGTTGAACTGTTGAATGCTAGTTAAATAAGCCTTGTTTAGTTGATGTCGCCTAAATTTGAAATTTGTATTATCTGAATAGAGTATAAAACTTGATATCAATGCATACCACAAGACATTTTTCTTAAAGGAGTCAATTTCTACTTAACAAGAAAATGAAAGCGTTTGATAATAGGTATAAATCAATTCAGTTTTGTTTCGGCAAGTTTAAGAAATTACAAGCATAAAAAATTAAGATTTTCAAGAGATTTGAAAGCTGTTGATTATCCCCAAATGATTTCAACTGGAAAAAACGTAAATCATTAACTACTGGATGACTTTAAATGTTGCCCTCTAATGGTTTCAACGCATTATACCTCGCTGTATTAAACCTTTAATCTTCGGGCTTTATTGTTACTTAGCACTCAGTTATGCGGAATAGACTTTTATGTACTAGGCTTTAGGCCACACTCGTTCCGTGAAAGTTGACAGTGCGGTCTGGTTACTCAGGCTGAGGTAGGTAAGATGGAATTCGAATTTGGTATCCATTGAGTGAAAGTTAAGTGCTCCAGCCAATGAGCGATATCTCCATTCAGCTTCCAGAATCACTGTATATTTTAACTTATAAAGCGAATAAAACTAAGTAGAATCTAGTAACTTCAAGGTCAAGAAACTAACCATTGATCATGATGACAGCTAAAGTACATTTTCCCCCAGAGAACCAAACAACACAATTCTACTAAAACAAATAGCTGAAGCAATTGAGGTCACTTTTAAGACAAATCTATGCTGATTTGGTTCAGCATCTAGTACATTAGATACCAAATGCTTTTAAAACTATTACTTTAAAGAAAGCATTGGTGAAATACTTTACTTTTACTATTATTTTTATTCATTACTTCATTTACGCGTCGGTGGCATAGCGGTAAGGACGCTCGATCCCCGGCCGACGCACTCCTTTACCTCGCTAAGCCAGAACTAAAGCTGGTGAAGAGGAAAAGTTGGGCGTGAGGCTAGCAACCCCATCCTGTAAAAATAAACACTGCTACAGAAATATATGTGTAAAACTTGGGCACTGTGGTAGTAAGTAATTCCATATTAGTTTGTTTATTAGGTACATCACACAGTGAAACAGTATTATTTACTGGATGACGTTTCGAACAAAATTTATTGTTCATAATCATATCAATTGTGATCACACGACTTTGACACTTGAGTTTTATAGTTTTCTTTGTTCTCTCCTATTTGTCGTATGGGTAGTAGAATTTTCCAGTGCCCAAAACTAATAACCCCAGTAGGATGTATGGTGTTGTTAAAGTTCAGAAGTCAGGATACCCTATTAGGCCTATAGTTGATTTTAGAAATTCACCTACTTATGAATTATCTAAATATTTAGCCATGGTATTAAATCCCCTAAAAATCCACTCGAAATCTAGACTAACTAATTCTTATGAACTAAAACATAGATTAGATAATTTAAAACTAGATAATGAAGAGAAAATGGTTAGTTTTGACATTGTCAGTTTATACACACGTATACCAATAAATATGGCTATGGAGGCAGTCAGAAACGAACTCATTTCTGACCAAGAACTCGAACTAAGGACAAAAGTGCCACTTGAGGACATAATGCTGGGAGTACAGCTATGCCTGACTTCCACAGTATTTAAATTCCAAAGGAAAATATACAAACAAACTGAGGGAGTTGCCATGGGATCACCAATATCCCCAGTGGTAGCAGATATATTCATGGATAAGTGGGAAAGCATAGCGATTAAAACGTTCACCCCCACCCCAAAAGTATGGTGGAGGTACGTAGACGACACATTCACTGTACTTAGAACACAAGATATAGATAGGTTTTTCGAACATATCAACTCGAAGGTTGAAGCAATTCAATTCACTTATGAATTGGAAAATCAGGAAGGGGAGCTGCCAATGTTAGATTGCAACGTAAAGAGGAAAGAAGATGGGAAGTTAAACACTAGTGTTTACAGGAAACCCACACACTCCAACATATATTTGGACTTCTGATCATCCCATCCTATGTCAGTAAAAATAGGATTGGTGAAATGTTTAAATGACAGAGCACAAAAATTAAGTAGTACCAAAGAAAATCTAAAACAGGAACTGATACACATAAAAGAAGCCTTAAAACTTAATAATTACCCGGATAAATTAGTCAGGAAATATGTAAGGAAATGTAAAAATAAAATAAATAATGATAGTAGCGATAGTGATAATAACAATAATAATGATAATGATAACAGTGATAATAATAATAATATTAATGACGACACCAACAATAAAGAATCTAAATCATCAGTAGTAATTGCATACAAGGAAGGAACCTCGGAAGCCTTACGCAGAATTCTTAACAAGGCAAGAATAAAAGTGGCTGGCATTCAAACCCACAAACTCAATTAGAAACAAGCTTTGTCGGTTAAAGGATCACTCCTGTGGAGCCTTTAAAACAAAACAATTTAGTTTATCTAATACCCTGCCTGCAATGATTGTCAGGTCAAATACATAGGTCAAACTAGAAGAACAGGGGCAGTCAGACTAGCTGAACATAAAAACTTAGCAAAATCTAGATTGGTTGATACAAATAAGATAAGAAATCTAGAGAATAGTTCAGCTATAGCACTACATGTAGTCACACACAACCATACAATAGGATGGGATAGGATGACAGTTTTAAAATCTAATGTCACAGGGTATAGGGAGAGATTGATAACAGAAGCTTTGTTTATTGAATCAACTACAAATACATGTAATAGGAATGATTTATCACCTGTCCCCGATATTTGGAAAATTCTACTACCCCTATGACAAATAGGAGAAGACAAAGAAAACTATAAAACTCAAGTGTCAAAGTCGTGTGATCACAATTGATATGATTATGAACAATAAATTTTGTTCGAAACGTCATCCAGTAAATAATACTGTTTCACTGTGTGATGTACCTAATAAACAAACTAATATGGAACTGCTACAGAAACTTCAAGCCACTAGCTTGAAGCCCTATGTTCCACTGGGAACGTAAAGAAAAAAAAACTTGCCTTCAGCGGCACATCTTCATTGCACTCTGTCCTCTACAATCACTTTCAGCTGATCCCCAATTTAGTTAAGTATATATGTTGAGAAATAGCCTCTTGATTGATTTTTTCCTAGAGTTCCTTATTGACAATCCTTCCTGGTCATCTGCGAGTTATTATCGGGAAAAATAGGCTATTGATGAAAGTCTACAGCCTGTTGGAAATGCTTTTGGTGAGGGGAATACGCTAAGTCTCTGAGCCATATAGGTGCGCAGTCACACTTGATATTAGTGTTAGACAGAATTTAAATCTCGTTCTTTGTGTTGAGTGCTGTAGAGCTCTATACTGATGTCAGAGTAATGGACTCTTGTCGTGCTTCATCTATCCACTACTGGCTGGCTTTGGTGTCTTCATACGTATCTCCTGTTGTTGAAAGAATGCTGCATGGCCAAGTAATTTAGAGAGACGGCTGCCTTTAGAATTCTCCTGTTGATGGTATTGTTTGTTTTTGGCTGGGTATCTTCACCACCACTGTCTTCTTTATGTTCATCTGGATTCTTTCCTTTCTTTGCTGCCTGCCTCTTCCACTAACTTGTTGGTATTCCCATGTGATTCTTCGGGTTTGTGTGACATGAGACGCAGATCATCTGTGAAATCGAGATCTTCTACGGTCTTTTTAATCAGTCCAAAGTATGTCCATCTTCCCACTCTTCAAGCACAGTATGTTGGGTGATCGAGTCGGCTACAATCAGAAATATCATCAGTGGTAGTAGGCAGTCTTGTCTTACTCGTGTCTTCACTGATTTCCCCGTTATGAATCACTTGACACATGCCATTGTCATATAGCTATTGAATGAGGTTGGTAAATGTTTTTGGCACTCCTTAGTGTTAAAGTAGTTTTCGAATTGCTTCGTGGTCGACACTGTGGAAGTCCTTTTTAAAATCGATAAAGTCGAGGTAGAGGTTTGAATGCCATCCTATGCTCTGTTCAGTGATGATAATGCGTAGCGCTGCAATTTGATCCTCACGTGATTTTTATACCTAATCTATCCTGTCTCAGTCGGTGTTTCGCATCCAGAGCATATTTAGATTTCCCCGGGATGATGTGAAATAACATTTTGCTTGGAATTTTGATTCAGTGCCAATTTTTTGTAGTCTAAAGTCAATGTTCTTTAGGAGTTTAACAAGGTAATGCTTCTTCCATTTGGTAGGCCCATTACTTCCCCTCCATGCTTTCTGGAATAGTGGTGCGAGCATATACCTTGAGGTTTCCGGGCCCATTTTCATTGCTTCTGGAGGGATCCTGTCTGGTTCTGCTACTTTTCTGTTATTGTCGGAGGATTGGTGTTCACTGGCAGTCGCTTGTCTACTGGTTGTATTACTGGACGAGTTACAGATGGTGGAAAATTCAAACATCCTTATAAGTGGTCAGCCTAGTGGTTCCCATCTTACAAAACGAATATATTACCTATTTATCTTCAAGTGAATGACACTCTAATGTCCCATGTAATCATCTTATTATATCATTATTCAGAAAAATATCGTCGACTAAGTTCCATAAAATATTCTTCAGTAACAAAAACAACTTGAAGAAAACCTAGAAATCAATAATATACGTGCATCTTACATTTTATAACATAGAAGTGAAATTTTCCCACTGGCTTTTACTTGAAAACTAGGAAATTTTATTTCATGTGATGGACATTTTGCTGTCAATAAAACAAGGTTGGATTCGGTTCATTTTTATTTAATAAACAAAACACACAATTAATTTTTTGACTATTTTCTGTAAGTGTTTTTGTTTTAAAATTACGATACAAATGGATATTTCCTTTTGGAAATATGAAACAACAGAATTATGGACAGGATATCCATAATCAATAAGTGATTATTATTCAGATTAGGGGATTTTTGTGTGGATTTTGCATTAATCTTACTGTAGATTTCGTCACGAGCCAACAAGGAGCACTGGACAGATTCATGTCTCAAACTCCTAATCTAAATATCAGTCTCCTGGTCATTGATGGTTACTGCGTGGGTGGCCTGAAGCTGCACAGAGAAGTTGTAGCCAGTGAGGTGCTGATGTTCATCAAAGGTACTGGTTAGTGGGTGGCCCTATATCACAGATCAACAGAGTTAGAATTCACCAGTCCCTGAATTCCGGTTCAAATGGCTGAATGGTCAATGAGATTGGTCTCATAACTTGAAGGTCTTGAATTCGACGCCTGATGTGGTCATGGATGCGCACTGCCGAAAAGTCCTAAAACAAAATGAAACAGCTGTCCACTGCAGTTTAATTTTAATAATTTCCGGTTGATTATTTAGCTTGAAATGTGCTTTCAATTGTGAGGTGTTGAGAATGAAGATTATTATTATTTGAACACGGTTTACCTCAAATAATCATGACAGAAATTCAGAATTTTCTAAAGTATTCCTTAATTTCACTGTCGACTTATTCGTTTATTGTTCAGTCAGTTCTGTGTTTAAGTGTTGGTTTGTAGGGATTTGATTGGTTACAGGATTTCATCATGAGCTGACATTGGTTAGAGAGCCATTGGAAAACCTGGAGGGAGTACTGGACAGCTGTTTCGTCAGCCTAGTTTGGGACTCTTCAGCAGTACGCACCCACCGGGGTTCGAACCCAGGACCTTCTGGTTACAAGGCTAGCGAGCTTGTAGACCATTAAGCCACTGGGACCCGATCCAACGGCCTGTCCATGAATTCTAACTTCTGTCAATTCACGACATAGCGCAACCACTAGCCAATGTCTTCGGCGAATATTTGTCTATGTTTTTTTTAATGACCCTCTTTTAATTCCTTCTGCTATCGTTTCCTATCCTCAAGTAATTGTTCATCACTTTTTCGATTACGTAGGTTTGGTCATCATTTTAACACATTTTTATTTCTCATACAGTTTGATTTATCTTCCATGTGTAGATGTGTAGATCTTTGGCACTGTGGTAGAATGTAATTCCATATTAGATAAGTTTATTTTTAAATATCACACAGCCGTGCGGTATTAACAACTGGATGACAAGGTTTCGAGCCTAAATTATTGCCATTCATAATCATACCACTTTTAGTCACACGGTTATATATATATATATATCCCACTATTCAGTCTCTCTAACTTCCCTTTGTTGTTTGTTGTTACTTTCCATATCTCCAGTATAGGCGTTGTGTCATACCGATTGCACGTGTGCGGTGTTAAATCGATAAACAAAGCTTCAGTAATTAACCTCTCTCTCTCTCCACTTAACTGTGTTGCTTCTTAATACTCTCACCCAGTCCCACCCTATTTTGTGCAAGTGAATGCAGTGGAATAGCTGAGCTTTTTTCTAGGTCATTTAATTAAGCAGGGTCAATTATTCTAGGTCTAGCTAAATTTTTATGCTCCAATAATAATTTATCTTTGACCTCTGACCTATGTTGGTGATTGGAATTATGCATATAAACCACTAGATGACTGTACAGCTTATATGAGTGTGTTCTTAATTCACATTACTTGGGAATTTTTCATTCTATGTTTCGTCACCGAAAGACATTATTTGGAAAATAACAGAAAATTAACCGGCGATAAATCGATATCTCGCCCCAGTTCGTTACAGTAAGTACGAACCTATTAAAAAATGAAAAGATCAGTAGAAACAGAGCAATTGAATAAGGAAAAAACCATGTTCCGAATATCATCACCCATGACCTCAGCAGAGATCTAACCTAGAACTTTCAGTTTGCAAACGGAGTACATGTACTGTCCAGTTGTTGCGTTTTATTCAGTAACCGATGAATTCTAGCTTCTGCCAGTTTACGCCGTCTCTGGCGTAGATGTGATATCCGACTATCGACCAAAGGGCGTGTGTACTGCTCATCAGTCCGCTCCGTCCTCCTTTATGGCTGTGAGACCTGGCCATTGAGAGTGGAAGACATGAAAAGATTAGCTGTCTTCGATCATAGGTGTCTGCGTTCTATCTCCCGCGTGAAGTGGTATAATAAGGTGAGCAATATTGAGGTTAGGCGTCGAGTGCTAGGTAAGGCGGGGAAATCAGTCGACGAAACTGTGAAATAACATCGACTGAGATGGTTAGGACATGTGTTACTCATGCACACCTAGCCATCGCCTTCCTCGACGGGCAATATTAGCTGATATAGGGTCAGGCTGGAAAAGCGCTAGCGGCGGTCAAACGAAAACATGGCACCAGTCAATGAAATCCACAACAGTTAGTCTAGGCCACGTAGGAAGGTGTAGACTTCCTGGTTGGGGTCCTCGGGAAGGTAAAAACCAATGGTTGGAAACAATTGGTGACATGGCTCAAAGTCGTTCTCAAAGGCTGGCGCAGATGCATCCACTCCTTGTGACTTATGATTTCCAATGAAGCTATTTTGTTCTTCGTTATTACTATACCTTTGTCTCACACCTATGTTTACTGCCTATATTATGCATCTCTCCTACTTTCCTCTCTTGCCTTGTGTGCTGCATGGAGTGTGGCGACTTGAACTGCCGCACATATGTGCAAAGTTCTCTGTCGAAAACAGACAGACAGACAGACTAGCTCCTACCAATTCGTGATATGATGTCTAAAGAAAATATTTTCCTACTCTCCTTAAAATCAGAATTATCTCCTCCTTTCAGACTGTGCATGAAAAATAT